TATGTGAAACATAAAAGAATTTTGTGTTTAGTCACAGGTCCTAATCCCAAGATGCCTCATGAGGTAATACAGATATTCTGAAATTTGAAACACTTCTGGTCCCAAGCATGTTGGATAAGGGACTCCTAACCTGTAGTGTGAATGTATTATAGTATCCTCAATAGTATATGCACCTTGAATGTCCTTACATTTTTCAGATTCCAATGAGTTAGCACTCTATTTCCTAAACAAAAGTCTCAAGCTTTTACAACTACAAGAAACTCAGGCTCTTCCCCCCAAGAATTGCATAAAAACCCTGGAGAGCATTTAAATGGTCTGCAAACCTGCCCAGTGACTTGCATCTGCTCAGTGCAGACAGCTGCTCTGGGCTTGTCTACCCAGGACTCTGACCCCACTGTCGTTTTTCCAACCTGAGGTGTTCTTTGATAATTCATATTGACTTCTAAGACTGTAACTGGTTTTTGAATGATATAAATTATATCCTAGCATCTGTCCTGAAATTGCCACTAAATTCACCGATTTACAATTTTTGATCTTTCTTCTGCTGTATGAAGATTTTTCATGTTGATAACCCTATTTTTAGTCTTCCATACCTGTATCTTCCTCTAAGATTCTCCAAGTTCACCATGAGCAATGATTTTACCTGAATTTCTATTTATTCAATGTTCCAACAAGTATAGTATGCCAGACCCTGCACTCGACTCTGGGATTTATCTTGAGCCCAATAAATACAACTCATCCAATCAAAAAGCTCACATAGTGATTCTCTGGGCCTTGAAAGGTTATGCATTGAGGAAACAGCTAGATATTTTTTTTTCTCATTGTAACTTGGAGAAAACCAATAAACAAATTAAAAATAAATCCCTGTGCTGATTTAGGCAAAATGTACCCCAAAATTGAAACAATATAGAGATTAACCTGGCACCTGCTCAAAGATAGCATGCTTATTCACTTATTAAGTGAAGCCTTCCTTATTTTAAGTAAATATAAATTTAAATAAATTCTGATGGTAATAAGTGCCCTTAAGAAAAGGTTTAGGGCTGGAGATATAACTCAGTTGGTAGAGTGCTTGCCTCACATGCACAAGACCCTGGGTTCAATCCTCAGCACCACAAAAAGAAAAAGGTTTTAAAAAATGATGTGATAGACTGTAAATGGGTAATAATCACACACAAAAAAGTAAAGCTGGAGCAAACTAATAAATACACTAAAATTAAATCCTAACATGATTCAGTGCCTAAGAAAATGAATGGAATAATGTGGTAGAGAACGAATAGATGTGGGACAATGGAACCCTGCCTTCAACAGAGTGGTCAGAAAACACCTCTCTGAAGAAGAGATCCCTGAGTTGAGACCTGAAAAACGAGGGATCAGTGATACAAAGAACATTGGAGATAACTTCTGCTCTGGGAGTAGAGCAGTGCAAAGGCCATGAGATGCAAAAATGCCGACACATTCTGGAAACTCTAAGAAGCCCTCTGTGGTTAAGGAGTCCTCAACGCCAGGGTGAGAGGTTGAGGTTTTACTCATCAGGAAACCACTGGAGGGCATGCACTGCTTTCATTGGCACTTCTTAGGGCAGTACATACCAGCAAATACTAATAATTGTATCCTTAAGAAGCAGAACTGTTGGCAAAGAACAAGGGTACCGCACTCTTTCCCTTACTTAAGCAGCGATTAAATTTAATTTCCTTCCTCCCCGCTTTGTCATCTCAAGCTATTGAGAACACAGCAATACCATGTCAGAACAAAACACATGCTTGTTCAGTTCGCTCTGACACATCATAATCAGCCTTTAGTCAACATGTTAGAAACAGAAATTGAATCACAAAAGACATTTGTGCTTTTTAGATTTTGTAGAAGTGACTTCATCAAGTTTACTTTCAAAAAGTGTTTTTCCCAAAAGCCAAAAGCTGATGTCTCCTCCAATGGTTGTGTTTAAAGGACCTTAATGAGGATTTACAAGGGCAAGAATATCGGCATTTATGGTGCCCCATTCTGTCTTTGTTATGTTGATGATGAGAAAAAAGACTGGATATCTCCAGTTAATGCAATCCTTTTAGAGCTTTTTAATTAGACAAGTCGTTAAGGGACAGAGTCCTGTGAAATAAAAACTGGCTAAAGCAATTTTCTTGGTTGCAGACACAGTTAAGGAACAAACATCTTCAGAGGAAAGAGAGATTGATAGCTAGAGAGAGGTGCCATTTGACACCCATCCCATGCCCCACTCTGGCCCACTCTCCCCTCTTTTTTTCTCCTACTCTGCCTTTCTTTTCTCCCATCTCTAAGCTTTCTAAACTCCTTGGGGATCCATCCCCCTACATTATTTTAGTCCTTAGTTTTGTCACTCATTAATTCTTTGTATTTTGATTTAGTGAAGTTTCTCAGATCTGGAATTTCCTTAGAAAAGGAAATAGGCACCTGTGCCTTTTGATTTCTAAGTGAGAAAATGCACATAAAGCAGATAACAGGCCCAGACATACTGATAAGTCCCTACAAATCTTTGTCTTTCCTCACCCATCTCAGCCCTCTTGACCTCCCTCTTTTTCTCTCCACCCCGCCATGCCTTGGGTCAATCAACTCTTCATTCACTTCACTGAGGCTGGTGGTAACAAGGGCTAAGGGGCCACCAGAATAGAGTTTAATGTGCTCAACAGCATACCCCAGCATTAAGGGTAAACATGAACTTTGTTTTTATTTCAAGAGATTTCTAAAATAATTTCCTGACCTTCTGTACTAACTGAAGACAGGATTATTATTATTATTATTATTATTATTATTATTATTATTATTATTATCATTATCATTATTATTATTATTTTGGGAAAATTTATCTAATGAATGAATCCTACACTTGCCTTCATGATGGATAAATACCTAGGTGATACAGCAACCCCAGCAGAGGCCAATCCAAGGAAGGAAGTAACATCACTTAAGGAAGGCACAAAACAGCTTTCCTGACCTCTCTTCCAAATAGCATTCAGTGCCCCAGAGTCATTCTGTGTCTGGCTTTGCCATCACCTAGGTTCTTCCAAGACATTTGCTTCCCAGTGTGTGCAAAGGCAGAAAGAGAAAGAGAGGTGATTGCACAGGCACTTTGTTGGGGTCAGTTCTGGGAAGGGTACACGTCCCTCTGCCCACATTCCTCAGGCCAGAGCATAGTCCCTTGCTGCCACCAGCCAGCAAGGAAAGCAGAACAATAGAATCTAGTTCAGGCCGAGACAGAAAAGTAATGGAATAGGATGAACACACAACAAACTCTCCACAAAAATCTTTTACTACAGATGGTTTTATTTTTATTTTTTTTCATTTTAGTGCATTTTTTGTCATACTGGGATTCACCAATATTTAAGAAAATTAGGGGGTTGGGGGCAAAGAAAGGGTCCTCAAACTTGAAGTTCTCATAGGATAAGTGACTGTCTTAATTTGAATTCTTCTACACATCTACAAAAACAATATATGTCAACATGGAGAGAAAGGAGGCACCCACCACCCCCTGTGCTGCTGTCACCTTGTCCTTCCCCTCCTTTCCGCCTTCCCACAGCCCCTGGGTCTTCTCACTGCTTGTGATCAGCCTCTAGCATGAGTTCTCTTTGGGCCAGACTTTGGCATTGGGGATAGGATGGAGATGGGAAAAATTCTAGTCCAGAAGAGTCTTGGTAGCTTTATATTCCTTGAATTCCATTACCTAAGGCATCTTTATGTTACCTCTGGCTTACAGAGGTGGGAAGGTATGAGGCAGATGAGGAAGAAGAAAGCAAATATCCTGCCTCATTTGAGATCTGCCTTGTATGAGCAATTGAGAGGGGGAAAAAAGTGTTTATTTGATCATAAACCCAGAGGAAGTAAGTCATAGCTCATAAGCCACACTTTCTAACTTTGAGTTGTTCACATACGCCTTACAGTATTCCAGAGTCTTTTATAAGCTCTTGTCTCCATAAAGTCAGTACTTGTGGGTAAATGGCAATAGTAGTGTAAATTTGGTACTATATATTAATTAAAGATGCATTGATTCTGGACTTAGTAATATTTAGATAGTTCTTATACATGTGTAAAAAGCTACTCATTGTTTTCATCAAAGCATCTTCTCAAGAAAATATTAGAGCCCAATGCAGTAGCACATGCCCGTAATCCCAGCAACTTGGGAGGCTAAGGCAGGAGGATCACAAGTTCAAAGCCAGCCTTAGCAGCTTAGTGAGGCCCCAAGCAACTTAGCAAGACCTTGACTCAAAATAAAAAATTTTAAAAGGGCTAGGGATGTGATTCAGTAGTTAAGCACTTCTGGGTTCAATCCCCAGATTAAAAAATTTAAAAACGGAGAGAAAAGATTAGAAACAATGCAAAGGCCTATCTATAGGAAAGTTCCTAAATCATTATGGTGCAGCCATGTGACTGGTCATTGCACCTGCAGAAGAGAATGAGGAACTCTGTTCACTGGCAGATTTCCAAGTCAGAACAAGGGGAAAGCCACATCCAGCAAGTAACACAGTGTGCCCCATGTTCAAGAACAGGGATGAACGGGATCATATACTTGTTAATTTACGTATAGAATGTCCCAGGAAGGATATGAAAGAAATCAGTTACCCTGGATGCCTCTGGGAAGGAGGACTGGGTAGGTGGGAGGGTAAATCAAGG